GGGGGGGGTCAACCCGCTAAATTTAATAATTTTAAACAATCAACTATAATATTTCATTATAAAAATTACCTACCTTCCTTTTCTTTATTTTAAAATATTAAAATATTTTCAAGTCATAAATTCAATTTAAAAATAAATTGTTTTATGTCTTTTCAACTTATATTGTCATCCAAGGAGACTAATATAGATTTAAAATAACCATATTTTGCTGACCAGAAATCTTGCTGTATACTAGCATAGATTTCATTCTAAATGGTTGTGTAAATAAGTAATAGTTTAAACCAATTGGTAATATGTAATTTAGAATTTATTAGTAACTATTTACTAGTTAATACCTACTACTTATATATGTTTATATTTTAAATATTATTTTCTTTTTCAGTTGTCGTGCAAAAGGCAAAGGATTAAACAACGACACTTCGAAAGTTTTTCTGATGATGGGTCATGAAACTCACATCCAGAAAACCATTTGGCATTAGAAAGATTATTTCAAACATATTTGTAAACAACGGGCACAGGATGAACAAACATCTCTTCGAGTCATTTATAATGAAGTAAGTGTTATTTATTACAATTAAAAATACCAATTATATAGCAAGGAACCGAGGAAGTTATATTTTTGAGTTATCGAATAAAATCACACATCACAAAAATTATAGAGGATAAGCTTTTAGAGTGCATTACACCGATTTGTCTAAATATACTGTCACAAAATAATTCAATAAGTACCTAACCATTTTAATTTTTAATTTTTATAGTAAAATAATAACAAAATAAAAACTGATATGTTTAACGTTCAACTCTCATAAATATTATCAATTATAATATTTTTGTCACATCTGCGACGAACGTTATTTAGATTTCGATGACGGTTGAAGCGGAGTGACCTTTTCTTCTAGTACAGTGGAAACCCCAAGAAGTGCTGGGCGTTTCCGCCGTATCCTCTGCATAACCAAATACTGATAGATGAACGCAGAGGTTTGACGAAAAATAGTTTGTGTGACTCATGCAGGAAGGAAATTTCAATCTTGGGAATACGTCACTGTGAATTAATTACCTCACTTTCCACCCTTGCTAGTTGCCACTCAATACACCTACTATTCTAATAGGTTATTAAAAAATCATAAAAAAAAAAATGATTTTATGTGACTTCTTTTTATCTATGTTGCACGTGAGTCTGAGAGAAACAAATGTTGCGTAATGCTGACATCCTATTGATTATGTGTGTTTGATTAATTTTGATGACTTATTTAACGATTTATAGRTAGTATATAAATTATACCCTTTCCCCAGTATCAAAAGAAATGATTTATTAATTCATCAATTATAAATTAAAATTTACCTATTTATTGCTTTCAAATTAACTAAATCCACCATCTARTTCGTGAAATAAGTACTTTCACTCCTATAAAACTATATACTGGCCTGATATTTGGGTAATTATTTTTCTGTATAATAGTAGATATTTTATATAGTAGTTGCATTTGATTCTGGCTTCCTCGCTGTCGCTGATCTTTAAGCGTGTTACCATCACAGGTCATTTTATAAGAATTTATACCATCGTCCATCTGTCATCTCAAATTGTTTATAACATTTATAACCTATTTACGCAAAACTTTGTTTTAATTTTTCAGTCCTTAGCTATAAAAGTAGAAAATTTTATAAATTTTTAACTATAAAATAATTTTAAATTTGATAAATGTAGAAATTTGACCTGTAAAAGCTTATAAAACTACTAGGTAGTAAATTATATCTAACAAAACTATTTTTCGTATATGCTCAACGAGGAAGTATTAATTTTCATTTCTGAGTGAACAGTGAACGATGCATCTATTGGTTTTACAATTATGGTTTTAGATTCTGAACGAAGTGATGAATGTATTGATTTTACAATGATGTGTGTGTTTTTTTGTCTGTGTACAGCATAAATAGTCGAAATAATGCTTCAATTTCAAACTTTGGGGGTGGTTTCCGATGTAAAAGTGAATATCCTTGGTGCATTATAGAGATCAAAAGTAAACATTTTCAAAAAAATCGAGAAAAACAAAAAAATCGAGAAAAACAAAAAAAAAATGACAGAAAAACGGGGATTTTTTTAAGCAAAACCCGTTTTCGACCAAATCGATTTTTTTATATGGTTTTATATAGTTAAATTCTTCAAAATATATTCAATGTAATTTTTCTTTGTAGGTAGAATGTAGAACGTAGATATAACATATAAATGAAAAGTGTACAGATTGTTGATGTTTCGTATTTATCACCAAAAACAAAAATCTACGACGTTAAAGTAAAATTCATTGACCAACATAAAACATTTATATCTTACATAATAATATTATATAATAATGAATTATTTTTAATGATGGTGAAAATAATACATAGTTTATTTTTAATAATTTCTCATAGTTTTAAGGTCAAAAAAATATAAAGTTTCAAAACTGTTTTTTTTTTTAAACTTAATTACGTTAAAATAAAATAAAAATTATCCATGCACATATCTATCCGACCATAAAAATTGTGAGAAATTCCTAAAGGGTGTCGATGGGTGTAGAAAAATACTTTAGAAAAAAAATTCATGTACGGATACAAATCCATATTTTAAAAAGTATTTAAAATACTCAGCAAAAACAAGTATTTATAGATAATTTAAAATACTTAGAACCTATTTTCGTATTTTACATTTATTTTATGTGATCTAAATTAAAGTAGAAAATKTATAAACTCAATATAAAATTCATTTTAAAAATTGAAATTTGATTTTTAAAACAAATATTTTTGAAAATTTGATTTATTCAAGTACCTAATTTTTCAAAAGTATTAAAAATACATACTTGGCTACTTAATAAGTATTTGAATACTTTTGAAGTTTAGTCAAGTACTTTACAAGATTGCTATGAGTGAATTTTACTTATAAGTTTGTAAAAAAGTGATTATTTCCTTTTTGAGGCGAGCTGGGGTAATACGGGAAAGTGAAAACCGGGTTTTCCCGGGAAAAGGGAAAACTGTCGGGTTCGGCGACTGTCGTGCAAATGCGTGCTAAAGGTTGGTAAAAAAAAATTAGTAAAAAAGTGATTATTTCACTTGAGGGGGGCTGAGGTAACGTTACGCCAGCCCCCCCTCATAGTTTTTTATAAATAACTCGTAAAAAAAAGTCGTGCAAATTC